AATTCAAAGTAAATGCAATCAACTGTCCGAATCACGTGGGATCTATCACCCACAAACACCAGGTGTTTTTTTATGAAAGCCTATTCTAGTTCCATTCGACAAGGGACCCATTGTTGAAACGAGTGGGGGACAAATGACATTCCCATTAGTAATAATCAGATTAACTTAATTATCACTGAATGATTTTGTATCCTGAAGTCTAACCAAAGTGAAGTAATAATTTGACCAGCACGTCGAATCACACGCAATAGCGCTGATTGCCCCGCCTACCTAGGGAGACAGATTGCCTAAATATCGATCCGAAAACTATTTTTCGATTTTTTGCAGATTCTCATTGACTGAAAAACAGTCTAGAAAGAATCTCGCGCAATCGTGATCATAAAGAATGAACAAGCTGTTTTGCTGAGTGTGCTATAAGGTTACCTGATTAGCAGTTACGTAAGCAACTTAGGATATTAGAATTACTCATGTTCAATATGATAACCACCCGTCATTCTTACTAATCACAACAGTTGCCACAAGCTATATGAACTTGGGTATCTAGCACTCATTTGGGCACAAAGAAGGTCCGGATTAGTTCGAAAACCCAAAAGGTTCAGTGCGGTTTCATCCATCCGGTGAAGCCAGTTTAAGGCAAAACGTCCAGGGACGGTATACAGACGTTCCATCCTTTCTGGAGACCATCAGCAGTGAAGCGTCTCACAAATGATATACTACTTGACGGACAGTGGTCAGTCACTAGCTTGATCAAGCTGCATCTAGACAGGAAAAATATTCACGCACTGTACTCAGCTTTCTTGATCCACTAATGACTGGGAGTGAATTTCTTAACTTGGGGCTTAACTAGCGTGTGAATTTTTTTCCGAGCGGTCCACTTATAGTTTGTAACAAAGAAAGTATCACATCACACAAGTATTAAATATGAATAGTGTTTACTCAAACCTCCTGTCGATACCTATCAATGCCTATCAACCTATCAATGTTACATCAATTAGACCTGAGTGACTGATGCTGGAGTTAAACACACACCGCTGATGGGCCACCCGTGTCCGAATGGTATGATGTCCAGCCGCCAATCGGATCCTCTTAGAGACTCGCGAGGTACTGTTTCATCTGAAAAGGATAAGGCACCTGCACAGTGCTTCCCAGCTTTTTAACGCAGCTACACTTTGCTTGTTGGGTGAAGACCCTATTGAAACTTTAAAATCTGTTAATTGCTTAGAAATGTATGTGTAAGTGCTGAGCAAATTCCGATTTTCCTGTCAACTTGAACTGTAACAGTATAAAACCCCAGAAGTTTCCTTGTGTTTAACAGCACGCGGAATGCTCACTAAGTAATCGATACAACCAAAACTTGGGGCGCACGCAGTAGCCCATTGCACCGGCGTGTGTATATCTTCAGTCTCTGTTTTTGATCCAACGAGGAACATTTGGTCTCCCAGTGAAACTTTGACAGCGGAGACCAAGTGAACTGACCAATAAATAGCGTTGAGGTGATTATTTCAAAGACGTCCTGTTTGTCTTTAAGCTACGTCATGCGAGTATTATGGCATACACTCAAGTGAACTGGCCAGTTAAAAGAACCAATGATCGAGAAAAGTAAGCGAGTGAGTATTAAACCGCGATGTACTTCATCAGAAACTGAGATCCTGTAATTAAGAATTCCTACGTTTCTGAACAGAGTTCCCGCTGCTCCCACAGCAATTTCTCAACGAAGGATTCACACATTTGCAACTTCATATTTATCTAAAAAGTGCTTCTCTCTTGTGTTGCCTATTATGCTTATGCCCATTGTTTCGGGTGATAAGGTTTTCCTCGCACTAGTAAACTTAGTAAAAACACCTTTTTCGGAAATATTGCGAGTGACGTCCCAATGAGGCGAAAATATCGTTTATCTCAAAAGCACAGCATACTATTGTTTCAGGATTGTCATACCTATTCATTCTGAGTTAAGTGGGTACTCCCAAAACGATGTGGAAATTTACGGCCGTGAACAAATGGATTTTTGTTTTGCCGGCTGCCCTTCCTGGTGGATGAAATATTGTCACTCTAAGGGGCCTGTTTCCATTATTCTACATTTGCGATGCTTTAGAAATTTGAAAGCCTTGTGTTTCGTTATTCTGCACATCGTTATATTCATTTGTGATGGTACATTCCACAAGTTTCATGAAAACGTTGGAAAACTGAACCAGTGGCATGATTCTCTATTCTGATTACCGATCACCACCGTTTGTGATGCAGGCAGAAAGCAGCATTCCCGAATAAGACGGACTACAACTGCGGTTTCAACAGAGACAGTCTGGAAAATTTCCTTTGATGTCTGGGCGTGCAAACTACTTTAAACTGATCACAAGACACGCCAGTACAGGACGCCTCTACCCATAATGGAAATACTTTACGAGAAGTGCCGAAAAAACGGTATACAAATGAAATTTCATTGCGCGATACAATCACCACTGAATATCCTCTCAATTAGAATTATCCTCACCGAGAAATCGTCCGGTGTTACACCGGGCAACCACCGTAGCTAAATCGTCCGAAGACCGAAACGTGGCTGTTTAAATGTAATTTGTTTCACACGCCACTTTATTCTGATTTCAAACATCCTTTCTGAAGCATATCTGGTAAAGTGGAGGGGACATTTATCGATCCACTTGTTTTCATAGCAACCCTTCGCAGCATTCAATCTTGTTCAGGGGTAAGAATGCTATGTAACATTTTTCACGTGTCTCCATTGAAGCGACCTATATAATAAGATTGAATATATCAAGTTTTTAGCATCACTCATGTAGCAAATTTGACCTTAGAACGAACCGATAATGAATCTGCCAGTTCTACCCAAACCAATCCCTAAGCACATGACAATGGTTCACTGCTTCCCACCGTAGTAACATTCTTCGGGTAAAACTAACGGTACTAGCATCACTGATAGTACAGCAATAACGCATACAGCAAAGTGTGTAGTAGTGAGGATTTGTGATTCCAAGTTCGAAACGAACGACAAGTCCAAGAAAAGTGAAGTTGGTTACCTGTAGTCCAAGTTTAAAAACCATGTCAGGTGGAACTCAGGGCTTCATTGTAGGAATGGAACCTCCATTGAAAAACACACTTCCTTTTAGTACCACCAGTGTACAAGTGAGAGTTAATCACAGTGCTGTTCAGCCGCTCGTAGACAAACGCTTAAACGTTCAAACACTGGTAGGAAGGTAGCGGTTTCGAAACTTCCTGAGGCGCGCTTTGTTGATGATTCTTAATGAGGTTTGAACGTGGTTTTTTTATCATAGACTGCTTCCGCTGATAGAACGAAATGTCAATTGAAAATTGCCGAATCTCCCAATTCTGCTGTCAATCCACAAGTGAATTAGAGAATAAATATTTACACAAGACAAACAAAACTTCCATCTGAGATGTCGTCACTCGGGCAACCAGTCGACACGTGACCACGTGATGTAGTCCCCGTAGCTAATAGGTGAGTGATGCTATCCCAATGCTCATCGGCAGCGACCGAACAGTTGTGTTCAAACCACCATTCGGGAGGCCGCGGATTCGAAACTACCCGGAGTTTCGTGAGGTGCGCACTGCTCACGGTTCTCAACAAGGATGAAACAGCTGCGCAGTGCCTCTCGGCCTTTCAATATAAACTGGCTTCATTTAAAGGACAAAATATTCATAAAAGGAAAAACTCGAGTGGCTCTCAAGCATTTCATGCTCTATGTATAGACTTCATATAAATTCCTGACGGCGTTTCCAACCAGTCTACTGGCATGCGGTTCTCTGCCACAATCGAGTTCTCCCTAATGTATTTCACCTTATGTTGTCCAGCTAATTACGGAGCTTCACATCGCTTAGCAGATACGGTTTCTCAAGCGCCACATAGTCACGGAATGTCCACGCTGAGCCCTATTCCATCGAATAATTAATGCCCGAAACTCACGCTAACTCTGAATCTGCTCATGTTCGGAAAAAAACTGTGGACACAGATCAAGAGAGTAAGCCTCTGCTTAATGCTGGTTTTAAATATCTAGAGAATAGCAATGTTCCAGCACGTTACCGAATCAAGCTGCAATATTTTAACTCCAGCTGAGTAATGAATGGGGAAGCTTCATGTATTTTCGTTCATCCAGCGCAACGTTTACTGGTCACAATCTTGATTAATATCGATTTTTAATTATTGCTCCACACCAAAATAACAGTTATCCGAAAGTAGGTAGACGTTCACTGGAATCTCACCACACATTTATAGTCAGAGACTTCGAATTGGTGAATTTTTGAAAGCGGAGATCTAGTAGCTAATCAGATGACAAGAAGTAATCCACGGAAGACCGGAAAATCGCGTTGCAACAGAACATACGCAAAACTGACCAGTATGTTCTATCAACAATTAAATACCTTTGATCTCTCTTGTAAGATATATATACGAAAAGAATGCCTATAGGACATTGTGCAAAGTGGATGGCCTATCAAACAAGCCATCCAGTTTCTGACTGGTTCCGGGTGACAAACAGCTGGAGGTCAAAACTCCCCTACCTATGTTTTTTAACCCGGGCATTTCAAGTAAGCAGGAAGTTTGTAGCAGCAAATTACTACGACCAGAAAATTTGAGTTTCATCCGACTAGAATCGAAGTCAGCAAACGCCTTGAAAGCTCATTTGTCAGACAACATGGAAAGTATGGTCTGTCCCTTCTAAACGAAAAATACATTTTAGCTGCTGTTCTAGAACAACAACCAGATCGAAAGGTTCCATTTCAAGCAATCACCAATGGCGGCACTCGGTGTAATCAAGAAGAAGGGTAGGAAGGCAACAGGACTATCTGAAAACAAATAAAAAGTAAATGACAAATGATACACAAAACATGCAGATAGATACTTTTTCTTTGAACGAGTAGTATACAGAGTGTAACGGAAGTAGTCAGTATGTGTGTAAACTGGCTCTGATATTATTTCGTATAACCGGCGTCAGGTGAGTTCAGCACAAGGATAATGCAACCATAGTCTTCAGATGATAGTGCGACCGGGAAACACACATACACATATACACGCTTTGGATCGATTCAAAATAAACCAGCAGACTGTGTCATCCAACACGCAATACCAAGCGATAAAGAAATGCTACCAGAGCAGCCAATTGGTGGATGACATGGCCTACTATCGTCCTCTGGTCTCCGGTTTGATCCCCGAGTTAGCTGCTTTATCCATTTGGTACAGTGTGGATGACATGCCCTACTATCGTCCTCTGTTTGATCCGGTTTGATCCCCGAGTTAGCTGCTTTACGACCACAGATATGTGGGTGCAACAATATGGTGGACGTATCCACATCCCCTCCCACTGTGACGATTCCATAAAGGAGTGCTTTCTCTCGCAAACGTTCAGAGTTCACAGCGGAATAACAACCGTAAACTCTAAACCAATGACATTTTCTCAAATTACAGGAGTAACATACATCACTTTCCCCCAAATCAGCTGGATCAAGAACATGAAAGGAATTCTTGCGAAGGAAAAGTATATGTGCAACATTATTAATAATGGAATTCGAAGAATAAAATTAAACTTAAGAAAATAATGGTCCGTTCAACAGAGCGGATTTGCGATTACAGTGGTCTTGAGAATGTCACACGTTGAGAGGAGCACTATAAATCAGCACGATCAAAGAACTTGGGAACTGAACTTGAATCTGTTGGAACCAGGGTTAACTAATGAACTTTGTTTTCCAGGTGCTTTTGGGAGTTTGTTTGATGACTTGGAAAGTACTTGGTTGGATGCACACGCCTTTGCTGTGCATACACCATAGTCACTTGATCCAAAACCATGTTACGCATAAGCTTGAGGACAAAAGACATCCAGGATTCCGGAGTGTCCTAGCTTTGATCATAACACTATCTGGAAGATTCATACAGATGTATTTCGTCAGCAAAGACGAGAACAGCCTAGTTGGGCGACAAGTTCAAACAGTTCAGTGGAACGGTGAAGCTCAGTGGATCCAGAAGGAGTTAAAATCAACCTAGCCAGCTTCGTACGTTTCTATGATTGTAGCGAAAGAGTACACATTTTCTTGCATTACTATTACAAAGGTCTTTAACGAATAATTCAAGCGAACCATTTCAGATTCACGAAAACGCTACCTTGCATGCAGCGTTTGACCAAGATGAAAGCCAAAACCACCACCCAACTTGTACAGCCTTGAGGGCTGCCTAACACTACCGGGATACGAAAATTTATCGATCGACTGTTCATACTGAAGACCTCGCGCAGCATAAAATGCTGCTCGACTAAATACACATACAGTCCTACATAAGAACGATGGTCCGACAGAAGAGAGACAAGTATAAATCAAAGAGTTGATATGGTGTTTGTGAGAATTCTGCTGGCGACAGTTTGAAATAATCATGCCGAAAAACTCTGACAGATTCACTTCTCAAAACGCGAGTTGAATTGTCAGCTAGGGAATCGGAAATCAATTTCCCAATAACGTTTGTGATTAACCGGTTTTGAGTTTGGTTGGATTATGATGGAATAAGACAAACTTACATACCGCGGTTCGTTCTACGACATTTCAGTCCCCAAGTATGACCTTCTGTGGGTGTGAAACAGTTAAAATCACTAAAGAGGCATTTGACAGGTATCTTCGGTTGATCGAGCAGAAACGCCTACGTTTATAGTTGGAGGTTGAAATAAAGCGTCTGGTTAGTGTGCTTAAACCTAGACAGACAGCTGACAAAGAAAGGCCACCGTCCCAGTCGAATGTAAATCACCAGAGTTTCCACACAGTACCGTTCTGAAGGTGTGAGAAATCCTGTGTGAATCACCTGACCCTGGTAAAACAACACCGTTTGATGCTCTGGTGAAGACCGGTCACCTTCGGTGGCCGAAACGTCCGGATAAGGACGTTATGTCGAACCACCATAATCCAACCAAACTAAATTTCTGACACTACTCTCAACCCATGCGACTTCATTTGCATCGAACTGATTGTGGATATTCTCAAACCGACCTTGAGCATCGCCTATTTAACCCGTATATTTTCAACTACTAACCGCCTTACTAGTAGTTTCGAGAAAAAAGCTCAAGGAAAATCGGCTCCGTCACGTTGGCGGCAAAAGATAGACATAAAAGGGCCCCGAATGGGAAGCCAAAGTACCGAGTGTCTCACACGCATTCGTTTGTTACCAGCGAATATACATTGGCGCTTCACCTACTGGTAAGAAAAACCGAAGCAAAACGCACAACTCGGGTCCGAATTTGGGGAAAGTGAACAAACGGGCTCGTCCACCTGGCCCGCGTATCGGCAGCCCGTCGAAACATAGTGGAGTGACATTGACCGACGACTTACGCAGCCCAAGTTGACCGTCATTACGAACGTGCAGATTCAACTAGTAACTGAAGCTCTCCTCAACTAAGATGTGTGGGTGGTTTTAGCTGAAGCCGAATGGAGGAAGGCATCAAACCTAGTCGAAACTGAACCGACAGAAAACACCTACACTTGGTGGTTGTTGGCTTGTTCGCTGAGCTGGGCAATTTGATTGCAAACGTTTCAACACCAATCGAGGTGACATCATCAGTGCGTTATTGTGGAGCGTGGTAGTGCGTATTAGAGCAAATCCGATCAACCGGTGCATCGAACTGGACCCAATTTACGCACTCCTACGTGCAAAAGACCAACATCTCAACCAGAAAACTCAAGGAGGACCGAATATTGCACTCACAAGCAACGAAACAAGGAACTCCTTGGAGGCAAATCAATATAGGTCACAACCCAGGACTGGAAAGGACAAAAGTCACTCTAGCATCGACCAGATTACGATGGCAGGGGATGCCAAGCTCAAAGGTCACGTAGGCATCGGCGATTGGGGACACAGGACGACGGAGCAACCAATGGAATCGCCCGACCGAACAACTAATCGCGAACAAAGGTCATTCCCTGCTAGCAGCACGTATATTAACAAACGCACAACACTACCCAACGCACAACCAGCAACCCACCGCTACGCACTACTACGCTCCACAATAACGCACTGATGATGTCACCTCGATTGGTGATGAAACGTTTGCAATCAAATTGCCCAGCTCAGCGAACAAGCTAACGACCACCATCTACGCTACCTGAGCTACCAACATTTTCCTCTATAGAACACCTACACTTGGTAAGATTGGCGTTTCCGAAACCAGACGAACCATCAGATCAGCCTGTAGTGGCAAGTCCAAACGTCATTGCCTTCACCAGAGTTAGGAAAAACTTGCATGTACGTCCATTAGCCTGTGGCTCAGAGTAGAAAACGACTGCTTGCGGCCGAAATTCGTCAAGAAGAACGAGAGGCTCATCAGGAATTCTGGTGTTTCCCGTAAAAACCAAATTGATATGCAAATGAATGTATTTGCCGAAATCAGTCCGATTCGGGTTCAAGCAGAATATAAAGTTGACGAAAACCTACCGGATGAGCCGCAAGGTCAAAACCTATATTGGGCTGTCGAAGAGTTTCCTCTACGGGAATATACTGCGATATCTCGAATATCGTGCCAACTGAAACATGAGGCGGCCTGTGTGCGGCACATTCAGTTGTAGAATATCATAAACGAGAGATTCAGTTGAGTCTCCCGTGAAAACCAAATTGATGTGCGAATGGGTGTATTCGTCGAAATCATACGTCAGATTGTTCTACCCAAGATTACACGATTTTGAAAAGAGTAAAGTGATGTAACAAGTAGGAGGATTGACAAACTCACCATACCGAGATACAATCGCACATTACCACATCGGCAGGTGTGCATAGATCATTTTTATCACCAAAATCCTTTGGAACAAGCACTGTTCCATCCTGTTGGGAAGGTAAGCCACAGATTGTAGGCCACGCGCATATGAATAAGCTTACTGGATTAGATGACTTGCGCCTTGGGTTCCTCCAACGAATGTTCCTTATTAAGGGATACAATGGGACTGTGAAGTATTTGGCCCTATACATGCTTCGCACCCCATTTCACCCTTTGATTACTTTGTTCCCGAGCATCCAGTGTTGAAATTAGCAAGATGGTTGTTAGTCTTAACAATTATGTGCACACGTTGACAAAACTGCACACGAAAGAGCCAGCAGTCGCATAGCCGTTTCGCTAACCATAAGTCGAAAAACAAGAGTTGCGGACAAATCGGTTTCCGTCAGTGGTGAAGTAAACAGACCTTGTCGAAGATCGCTGTACACAAAGTAAGTAACCACCTTGCCAACGTATTCTTCTTCCATTCTGACACTAAGGACAAGTGCCATAAATGAGGTATGTGCAGTCAAAACACCATCACGATTGTGCTAATGGATAGGTAAATCAGCGCGAAACGACACCGCTAGAGTAACGAGTACAGCTCCCACATCTTATTACAAGAAATGACAGTACCCTAAAGCAAGTTCCGTGTTTAGTTTTGATTTGCCAGCAAAAACGATAACACCCAACACCTCACCGCTCTCACTAAAAACAAGCAAAGATCGAGCTCCCATTACCATCCGTAGAGCCGGCCATCGATGTATATCTTAGGCTGCCGTCGCAGACATTTGGTTGACGGTAAGCACTGTTTTCTTTGAATAAAAAAATATTAACGGCTTTAAAAATAGGCAGATTGGCGTTACTGAAATACTAGTAGTCCCTTGACCGATACATCTAGACGCTCAAGTGAAACTTTGTAAAGTACGCTATTACAGTGAGTGTGCAAATTTGCAAGCCTGGATGATTCCAGAACGGCGTGGCTGCTCTGAGTGTTATGCATATATTCAGTAAAAGTGCGACAAAGTGGGTTGCAAAGGTATTGAGACTTAGAAGAAAAATCTTCCTCAACCAGACAGCAACACTGAATGGCCTCATATTTCAGTTTAACCTTCGGGTGAATCTGGGCCAGCTGGTCAAGAAACCATTCTTGTAAACAGTCGGTTTGATTCCCGATTGGATGGCTGAATAAAAATTACTCTACGCCGGTCGTGAGTAGTGAAGTTATAATGGAATATATGGATGGGCCCACAACTTTGTCATATGATTTATATTACAAAGATGAGATTAGTTCCCCTTTGGGGAATTAACTGGACAGTCCTTCAGTAGACGTGGGTTCGTGTCATACATAACAAGTTGATTGCACTTAAAAGAAAGAGTACGGAAGGTCCTAGCTGTGATCTGAAGACTGCGTGTGATGCAGAGACAACTTCGAAGTAATGGGATGCTCTCATTCACATTAGCGTCAGCGACAACATGAAACGGAGGGGCATAGCTAAACGCCTGGGATTCAACAACACAGGACTGCTGCAGGACTTTTTCACAGTAACGAACTCAACACAGTATACAAAACTGCCTACCACCGCAAGGTAAGAATCCACAAACCCAGATATTTGTCTGGGTTTTTGTTTGATTTCCATTCTCCTGAAATACTACCCCGGGAAGCTGACAAAGGACAGCGGAACCATCTGCCCACATCTGTTCGGATATGAATGAGAGTAGACTTTCATAACTTCCATTCTGACAGAAAGGTTATGGGCTCTGAAGTTTGACAACCCAAATCATTGTATCAATGGGATTATGCGCACCTTTTCTCTACCCAGGAGAATCGGACAAAAGTATCGAAAATGTTTTATATTAGGTCGATAATACAGAATGATAGTCAGATAAAATAGGAGAGGTCAAAACGGTTTCCCACATTTTCTGTGCATACAAAATCCTAAAAAAAAGAATATTGTTAGCCGTGCTTTAAACTAACAGATAAGTTACCATTTCTTTTCCGTCAATTTCGGCATCATATGTTGCCTCGGCGTGGATAAAATTGCTTCTTGCAAGGATTTGACTGAGGCAGAATAAGTTGGGCAACCAACAGGGGAATTACCTGGAGATAGAGGGAATACGTAAAACGTGAGTGTGAAAGAGAAGGGAAATGACCAAAAACGGCGCATGCGGCCAAGATGTTTGTAAGGCGTCTGAACACGGAAACCACTGGAGCTGGAACGCGGGTTGAATAGCCCAGGTCCCCTCAGCTACTCTTATCGTGAGTTTATTACTATGTAATATGACGTGAAAATAGTCAAAATATCGCAAGTGTCCAGGAAAGCAACACAAATAGCGCTTTCGATCGAGAGTATGCTGGCCCCTGATAAACTATCCCAAAGTGGGCATCTGCATACACAAATGTTCGCAGTTCGTCACACCAACTTAACGTGAGAGTGACCAAGCAACCAATTTGTTTGTATTAGGACAGTCTCCATGTTGTTGAATTTTTCTTCGTTTCGATACACCCCATAATGTTACGTCAGTCCGTAAAATAAACTGCGCTCATTAGGTGTTCCCCATTATATTAATAGGAAGTCTCTTTAAACAGTGCAGTGACCGTTTTCCAGCTGTAAGCATCAAGCCACGGGATTAGATACGAGTTATGCTCATTGATAAGTAAAAAAATCGTCCAGCTGTAGCACCCTTTCGGTGCCTAAGTGCCATGACACGAGGGCTGGGATACTGCCAGGTTGCCCAAGCCTAAACAGGGGAAGTCGAGATGAAGGGGACGGGATCGAACCACGAACCTTACGGTCACTATATTCAACCTCTAACCACTGAGCCATCTCGCCTTATGTTTATAAATAGGAGAATCTGACCCTCATTTAACTAAAGACTTCTTGAACTGGTGGGTTATTCCAGGTTATGTCTCTCGCAAGCCTTTGGTTAAGTGTAAAAACAGCTCTATGGGAAACTCGTATACCTTGTTGCCAAAACTCCCCCCGATCTATCTTGGTAAAGTACCTCTTCACAACTGGTAACAGGTCGGATTCAGAGCCTCTGTTATGAAGATAAAACCGAAGACAGGCAATTTCATTGAATAGACCCAGAGTAGTTGACCCCCGTTAGTCGGATGAAATACTCCACTAATCTCAAATTTTGATCCTACTTTATGCTGTTCTAAGACTATACTGTACCCAACGCTAGAAGAGATGTTGGAAGAACTTCCAGCATTTTAAAGAGAGGGGGTACGACAGGTAGCGTTAGCTCCGACAGGAATTTAGACTGACAAAAGTGTGTATAAAACAGATGTCGCATCAACAAAACTAATAGACACTACGGTGCTTGAAGCTAAGAATTGATGGAACGCTTAGACGAACAGAACATTAGTTGGGTTTCTATGCCTAGCACATAGTTCGAGGTGTAAAATGTGCTACCCCTCCCAGAGACTGTAATTCATTTAACTGTTTCGGTCACCCTGAAGGTTGCCAACATGGAAAGAGGCGACAACAGTCATTCGGGGCACAGCAACCACAGAATACGCCAGTGCTTGGGAGACTCGTGTATTAGGTCGAGGAGTATGCGGTCCACTGGCCTCCGCAATCATATTGCTACGGGAGTAGTGGACACTGAGGGGACACTGAGGTTCTCCGCAGCTGTCTCCCACGAAACCATTCATGTGAAAACTATTTCCGAAAACTTGTGAGATCAATCTGTTAGGAAAACACTGTTGCAAACTCACCCTCATCGTCAACGACAGGAATGAGAAACATCCGTGGATGATCCAAACGACGTTGGATGTTAAAGAAGCGTCGCCGTACTGACTGGACTTGATGAGTCATATTCGCCATCTCCGCATTTTGACGCTCCCCATCCCACAGGCTAGGATGATCCGCTGAAGCACCGTAGAGTTCACTGCCGCCCGTAGTAAGTTGAGAAGATGGATCGATCGCCAACCTCGGAACACGACAAAGCAAGCCTCTTAACTCAGCTTCAACGGCCTGTAGAATTGGATAACATTCAGCTGCTACATCAGCCTCTTTGGCATCAGACAAAGGAGGCTGTGTTGCACTGCTTGACGAACCTGCATTAACTGGACAACATGGTATAGGTCGGTGGCCACTGAAATTTAAGAGTATGAGGAGGATTTTGATGACCGATCAAGTGGCATGAAAGGAGGAGATACCAGACGAGAATGAAAACCTTATGCTGTGACAGTAAGCTACAAACGAAGACTGGGAATTCCTAGTAACTGGAGCACTTAATAAAATAAGTACAATGCAGGGCAAGGCGAGGAATGGAAAAATAGCTACCTCTCTGACAGCTGGTAGGCACTGGAAGGTCGGGAGCTTTAAGATGACCCAAGTCTAGGACTAAAGCCACGAACTTTTTGGTCTGAAACTCCCATCGTACCGTCTGCATCACCTTGAGCTCCAAAATGGTCTATCCGAAGGTTTTGCGTAAAGTAACCCCTCCAAGAAGTCATTACGAGAAGAGAAGCGTTAAGTCTATCCTAAAGCTGATCAGTTCCCAGAGGGGTAGTAGATTAGGTTGTTACCGCCGTTTGGCAGGGAGTGCATCTTGAGAGGATACTGTATGGACCCCTCCGCCCCTGAAGGGACACTAAGAAGTAATACAGTATTTAGAGACGAATTGCAGCAAGATCACTCTATAACGCTCACCTTTGGGATTCCGTGATTGCTAGCACAGGTGGGTCCCCGGAAGTGGGCTGAGCAGGTGTATCCTGACCCGTTGCGATAGAGGACTGAGATTGGAGGAGTCGACATTCTGTGTACGTGGAAGAAAGTAGGAGATAAATTTTCGTCTTCATGGCGGCATTGCGTACTAGGGTTATAAATCACCGAGGATAGAATCATTATTGCTTTTATGGTTGTAATGCCAGCCCACAGAACCTGCAGGATGCAGAGAAACTACCAAAAACAGTATGTTTATTTTGCACGAATAGCTGTTGCACCCTTAGGCAGTTTTTTCAATGCCCGTACAAGAAATTCACCGTCATCAAGCATTCGGCGGGAAAAAACACGTTATCTTACTTGTTCGAACTAAAAAAGACAACTTCGGACCAGTTTAGCTGGAATTACTCAGTGTACTTTCAGCGCTGAGTTAAGACAGTAGTTATACGTCCCCGACTACTCTAAATTATGTGAACAAGAGAGGAAAAAAGCGATTCATCCCCAAGTCAGTTTACAAACACTGATTTACTTAACCATACGATGGTAAAGAACAATGCTGTTGCAGAATCCATGTGAATACACACTCGACAAAACGGGAACAATCCTGATTTATTAAGTTATCAACCGTAAGACTACCAGTAAACTTCACTACAGTGCAAAGAAACTGGCAAGAAAGAACGAAGTCAATCATGAATCTAAACCGGTTTACTGACAGACGGAGCAGTTAGCTAGACGGAAAACTATTCTCCCAGATTATCAGTCAAAAATTCGTGATTCCCACTAGTATTTTCCATGTACAGAATCAGGAATGAAATAATGATAACACAGCACAAAGCACATGTGGGCAGTTCTGGGAATGCACTTAACTATGTGTTTAATCCTGACCGGATTCCCCCAGATGGACTGAGGAAAATCGATCATTTGACGTTCACGTCCAACGCCGGAAACGTTTTGGACCCTATCGGTATTTCGGACAAGCGTACTCAGTCAAGTGATGCTTAACCCAGTGGCCTCCGTCCTATTGTTGCAGCCCACTTGCATTGTGATTTCCACATACAACCCAACTAGCTGCCATTTCTTCGAATGTGATAACATGTGGTTTTCATTGTGAACAGAAGCTACTCAACACAGATAGTCTTCTTTGTGAACCTGGATAAAACGAATTTCGGTGAAACATAAACGCCACCTAAATAATGGGGCTGTTTTTTTTGTTGAGGCCAAGGTAAGAATGGTAGAAATTCGTTCACATCAATTTACACCAATTTACACCAATTTAATATGCAGACGGGTTGGAAATGCACGCAACAATCAACTTAGATTATACCAACTGATATTTGGAGCTTACTTTAGGCTATAAGAGTTAACAGTTTCGGCCGGAAGAGCGTTAACCTGCGTATTCGCTTGATCCATATGAGGCTAGTAGTTTAATTGCAAAATACCACGATATTCCACATACCGCCCCCATTCATGCAGTGATTATCACGAAGTTAGGTGGACGGTCTTGGAATGACCTAACTGGGGGGGGGAGATGGCCCAAGTGGTTACAGTGCAAATTTACTGACCGGAAGGTCCGTGGTTCGAATCCGACCTCCACCACTCGACTTCCCCTGTCTAGTCTTGAGCAACCTGGCAGCATCTCAGCCCTCGTGCTTCCTTCGGATGGCATGGCAGCTAGGCACCAGAAGGGTGCTACAGCTGAACGCCCCCATGACCTAACTTGAAAACAAACGATAGAGTGACCGTGGTTGAAGTTACATTCCCTGCTACCGTAACAACAGTACGTCCTTAGGGCATGAACTGACCCAAGAATCAAGTCAATATATGAAATCAACATTTGACATAATTATTGAAACGAGTAACCGCTGTTGTCCTACAGAGTGAAAGTGCCCTCACCGGAGAGTACCGACTGAATAATAACCATGGATTGGAACATCAGGATTGCTACTGGCAGATTGTTTGAGCCACCGAACAAATCTGACACATTTAGTACATACAGATTTATAGTTTCAGATTTGGCTACTCGGACTGTCTAGGATGAGTTAGTAGGGTTAGAAAACATGTTGGCCTCGCGGATCAACTAAATAAGTAAAAACCCCAGGCGTGAATAGATGGTAGCTAATTAGAGTGAAACCGAAGTCTAACACTTCCACAGTGACGTAAAAGTACCGCGTCATGGGAACTGGTTAAACAAATGTGAACCAAAATCAAGAAAACTACCTTGTTCCCGAGGAGCATGTGAATGGCCTTCTACAGAAGGTTGCTCCTGAAGCTCAGGTATCTGAGGAGCCACCTCATCAGTGAGTGGAGAAGAATCCGCTAAGACGACTTTGTCTGAAAGACGCTCGTCTGCAGCGACTTCTGATCCTAACGGTGTTTGACCACTGTGCAGTTCATGGGCAGAGGATAGCTGGAGTGAACTGGCCGGGTGACCGTCCTCACGCATTCCAATCCCACCAATGGAAGGATCAGAAGCCGAAAGACAAATCGATGGATTACGGGCATCTATCGCACCACAGCTGTCTCCTACGTCTGTACCAATAACATGACCCTCTCCAACCTTCAATCCACCAGAAGACATGAGCGGTTGGCGCACATTCTCCTCTGTTGTCTGAAGTGTCGCAACTGGAACCTGAGTACGGGACCTGGAGGCGAGATGAGCCGAAAGGATTTGCGGTCCAACTCCGATTAGTGCAGCCAGACGTCGATAACCAGGAAATAACATGGGAAGCAATTGTTGGCGGAACATTCTTAGTCGCTGGCGTACAACAGGATCCAGGAAAGCGGCAGCAGGTGCTTGATTGTACACGTGAATTAGTGATGCTGAATAGTCAGTAAGGGCTGAAACGGGAGTGAAAGTGGGGGAGAATTAAAGCAGATACACAAGCCTGATTAGAAGTGACGTGCGATAAAGTGGGTTGGTCAGAAAATTTAGAGGAACCACAAGCGGAATCCTGTGCCTACATAACCTGGCAAGCAGAACAAAGATGGCTATATTAGACACCGTTTGCATTCGTCGTTCGTAGCAGACACTATCCATCGCGTGTACGTAGTGAGGACGCCTCAGAGAGTCAAGCAGGTAGAATGCTGAATATTTTTTTCCAATTTTTGCAATAATGCTTCCATATTTTCAAAAACTAACTTATTTACTCCTGTATGTGAACCCCGAGTTGCATCAAAGGATTTATGAAAAATGCGCATTTTCATATCTATGGGTTTTGTGAACTATATGTTCTAAACGGGTTTGTGGTCAACAAATAAATCGCCCCTGCATAAATATCTTACAATCATCAGTGTTTCCGAAAATGAAAACCTCCATGTAAAAACGGACTCGTAAATTTGCTTGAAATAGCTCATTAGTTATTCCATAAATGTAACGAAATACACAAGAGTCACAAAGTAACAATGACATGCTTCACTAAATTTGAACAACGGACTGTATTTTTCTAAGACGGCCTTTAAGCTTGAACTCCTCCTAAGGGTGAACATTCCATCAGACAGGACGAATGCGTTTAACCTCAGTGACCTCCAGTCTGCACTGAGCGACTCGAACAAAAAATGCCGTAAGCTTCAAACGAGAACAACTTTCTGCAATCTTTGGGGTATTTGTCCCAGAGAGCCGCAACCACTGTACGATTTAACTCATGACTAAAAGGTTTCTCAGCTTCTCTTATTTGTGCGCATTGCTATCCATCTCAAACTCGATTAGTTCGAGACGGTCGAATCCCAAAAATAACAAGACTCTTTGAAAAAACTACGAAGCTCAACAAACATCCAGCTAAACCTACTTGCAGGAGTTCCAGTAAGCCTACCGAATCAGGGCCCACGGAAGCAATAAATAAATTATCTTTCCACAATTAGATGGCCAGCGACATTGCAAAGATTGACACAGTAGCCTGGTCTACAATTTCCGAGAGTCGACTGATTCGAACTAACTTTTGAGTCTGTTGAGTGCGTCCACCACGTCACCAGACTCCGACTCAAGGGGCTGTCCAGCATCTTGACTTCGAGTGTGCAACAAACCGGTTGGTCCCACCGATGCTAGCAAACCATCAGAGCCTACTCCAGCACTTCTGGGTTGTTCACCAACTGTGTCATCTGCCTCATCATCATCTTCACTTTGCGGTTGTTGATATGCTCCATTGAGTTCCACGTCCCTCTGGAGAACATCCGATCCAGCTGCACTAACCAATTTAGATGCTTGAACTTGATGTCGTGCATTCTGGTGTTTGGTTGCTATGCCATTGGGTAGACCGCTTCCCCGACGGTTTGTTTGCGACAGAACGGTGACAAATGCAGAATGTGGGAGAACAGACGGTGTGTAGACTGTTGGTTTCAGCGCGGCGGCACGATCAATCAGACGGTATAACTGAGATGGAGCTGTGCTCAGATTATCAGTGACCACCAGAAGCACATGACAAACGTTGAGGAGGAACGTAATGATCTAAAACAGCAGAAAAATCAAAGCTGACTTAAAACTAGAACTATATCGTTACTTTTTGCTCCAGTTGACCTCTGAAAAATGGACCATCAAGATCACTGCACGTATTCACAGAATACTCCTTATCCATTTTAATATGTTCTGGTATCTCTGCCCTGTTACCAACAGGTTCGGGGAAAGAAATATCGACCTTGACCACAGGAAGACGGCAGAGAATGCCATAAGTCTATATAAACCCAAAACACGAACCGGCCGTAAAGCTGTGGAGCAGTTCTAGTTTGGTACCCACTGGTTGACTAGAAGTTTTATCTGATCGAAACTGGTAATTCCAGTGTCAAAAAGGCCATACATCTTGCTTATTCTCGGGTGATCTGGTGAAAAATACAAACCTGTATTTTCACACCCTGTGTGACATGGAAGCATGGAGATTTGTCAGTTAATGTTCTAATGACTATCATACGGTGGCGAACGGCTGACTATATATATAT